ACTCAAAACTTATAATCTCTTGATCAATTATCTAGTGGAATCTAGTCAGTAGGCTATCAGCGTGGGAGAGTGGACATAGGCTTGCTATAAGTCGAACTACTATACATCTGTGTGCATATTCTCTATTCCCTAAATCTCTTTATTGCACATTTTTTGTTTATTATTCAAAGTCTGACTAAAATCTGAACGTTGTTTAGACTTTGCTTAAGATCAATTACTTCCGCATTAGAATTGATCAATTTGCATTCAAATCACCTATCCACTCCCCTCTAGGTGATATTTGCTAGTCTCATCAGTTTGTAAATTTGAAACCCTAACGTCGATTGAAACCCTAGCGTCGATTTGCTCTGCTTCTAGTTGTTGTGCATATCTTATATAAGTAAATTAGTTGATGTAAAAAATGTGGAAGTCGTTGTTGGTCCTTCCACTTGATTTGGACGAAAGGAAGCATCGAGCATGTGCTAGATTTCAGTTGGTGAACTTGGGAGGGATGTCGATGATGCTGCACAACTTGCTTCATTGTGATGGAAATGCAAGACCTTGTGCCATGGTTCGGTAGACAGATTAGGTAAACAAGCTTGACAAACTTAGTGCAGAGAAGTGTTGATTCTTAGTTAATAATATAGCTTGAGCTCTTCATGGACAGAACAAATATTTGCTGAGATGTTTAGTAGCCTGCTTTCCAGACTGATTCTTTTACATATGATTAAAGGATTCGGATAGTAAAGAATATGTTTTAATCTATACCTTTTGGCCATGACGCCTTCTACAACTTCGTTAACTTGAACTACCCACTACATATTAGACCCTTCTAAAACCCACTTGTGCTCTCGACCTGTTCATCATGACCAAGGGAACTTGTGTAAGAACAAACTATATATATTTTTAGGTCTTCTCTTTTTGGTTGGTTTTCACTTACTTTGCATTGTACATATTCATTCCTTGGTTGCAGCTGAGCTCACACGCACTCCCACGACACACACAGATGTGCTGCTGATAGTTTCTCTATCCATGCAATGTATTCATGAATATGTCTGTATTTGGTGTGACACTTTTTGAACATCTTTACTTAAAAAACAAGACAGAAAGTTATTTTCCTTCTATATGATTATCATGAACTCATATGATGCTCAACTAGTGAAGGTTAAGGGCGCGTTTGGTAACGTTTCTATTTATATATTTTTCTATTCTTTTGTGCCATGGAATAAAAAAAGAATATAAATCCGTTTGTGTACATTAGATAATTTTTCTTTTCCCCAGAATAAAAAAGTGGTCAGGGAATAGCTTTGAAACAAAAAGAAGAAGTAAAAAAAATATACTTTTCTGTTCCCATAAATAAAAAGAGAAACAATTTCATAAACCATTAAATCCCAAATCCCCAAACCCTAAAACCCGAAACCTTAAACCCCAAACCCAAAACTCAAAACCCCCAACCCCTAAACCCCAAACCCCAAACCCAAAATTTGAAACCCTAAATCCTAAAACTCTAAACACAAAGACCCCAAACCCTAAAACCTGTAATTTTAAAACCCTAAACTCAAAACCCTAAAATTGTAAACCCTAAAACATAATACCTGAAACCCCAAAATCCAAACCCTAAAACCCAAAAACCCAAACCACAACCCCCGAACCCCAAAACCCAAACCCGAAATCTAAAGCCTCAAAACCCTAAATCCTAAATCCCAAACCCAAATCCCAAAACCCTAAAACCCAAAACCCTACCCCAAAACCAAAAATCGAAACCCTAAATCCTAAAACTAGAAACCCTAAAACCCCAAATACTAAAACCCGAAATCCTAAAACCTTAAACCCGACACCTAAAACCCAAAACCTAATACACGAAACCCCAAAATCCAAACCCTAAAACCCTAAAACCCAAAATCCAAACCCCGAACCCCAAAACCCAAACCCCAAACCTGAAACCCAAAACCTCAAAACCCCAAACCCTAAAACTTAAAATACTAAACACAAAACCCTAAAAACATAAACCATAAATGCTAAATCCCAAACCTCAATTTCCTCGACCACCATCTGGTATTTACTTTGTCTATTAGGAGTAATTTTCTTTATGATTGTATTAAAGTCATCCAATTCTATATTATAATATATTTTGATTATATTTCTAGTCTAGTTTTATCCAAACATGAATTCTTAAGTCTTCACAAACATTTTTTTATTAAATAAAAAAAATTGGGAATAGAAATTTTTAGGATTGTACCAAACGTATTTCTAATTTTTTTTTTTACTTCAGGAATAGAAATTTTTATGTAGTTACCAAACACATTATTCTACTCAGAAACTTGTCTAGGGAATATAAATAGAAAAAACTATTTCTAAATAGAAATTATTTTTGGGAACAGAAATGTTACCATACGCACCCTAAATGGCATCTCAGGAAAAGGCATTCATTGCAAAGTGGATTGAGTGTTTAACCAACTTGTATGTTGGTTTGTTGGTAGAAGAGGTCAAAAAGGGAAGACAAGATGGACAAAATTACATTCGTGAGGAAGCAAGATGGACAAAATTACATTTGTGAGGAACCAAGATGCACAAAAACTTTTCCCTGTATGGAGATCTGGAGTACCCGTTCGGACATACACAAGCGGAGGTTGCAAATGATACATCACCTGACGAGGCAACTGAGATAAATATGATTAGGGAAAATATTGCAAATAAAATGGTAAGGGATCACAATATGCATGAGATACCATGACTTTGTATTTCCGACTTTCGTAATGTGTTTGTAAACTATTATGAATACATTTTTGTTAATCATATTAAGGTCATCCACGACTTTTGTAATGAGTTTGTAAACTATTATGAATATATTTCTATTAATCGAATTAGGCCATCCAATTCTACATCATATATGTTATGATTTTATTTATTAGGCCATGCCACTCTCATAATGACCCCATAAAGGTATTTGTTTTAAACTTAAAAATCACGAATTTAGGAATGTTGAAGTGATTAAAAATACCAAAGAAGTTGTCTTCTTAAAAAACTTTCAGCAGATAATCATATAAAAAAATTGGGAATAGAAATTTTTGTACTCCAGGAATAAAAATTTTGTGTAGTTACTAAACGTATTTATGTTCTTTTTCTATTCCAAGAATAGAAATTTTGTATAGTTACCAAACACGTTTTTTTGCTCAGAAATTGTTCTAGAGAATAAAAATAGAAAAAGCAATTTCTGATCAGAAATTGTTTCCAAGAATAAAAATGTTACCAAATAGACCTTAGTCCTCACAAGTAAAGAGTTCAAAAACATCATGGTTGGAAAACATAAAGATCATACGAGTAAAATACAAGAAAAGGGAGAGGGAGTTTACAGTCAAACAACACACAGCCGAATCCCTTCTGCGGCGGTGACTTCCATCACCGCCATTTAGCCAGCCGCGCTCTACACAGCCGTCACTCCTTCCCTCGGCCGAGCTCCTGCTCCTCTGAGGATCTCCTGCTGCTTCCTGAGTCATGACCGCAACGACACTACGCCAGCCATGAGTGCCGGCCATCGTGACAGCACCAGCAACGAGTCCTGACCGCCACCACCGCATCCTACTCGTCATCGGTGTGCCCATCAACGACGACCAACATACAATGACGACCTACTACTAATTCCTTGCTCCACCGCAACACCATAGACCAGCCGTGACCAACCTCAGCCTTGCCGTGAACCTTTCGACGATGATGTTGCTGCCCTGATCTACTCCACTGTGACAATCAACATCATTGCCCACCTATAGCAGAGAAGCCGAGTCTAAAAGGTAGGACAAAATATTGATTCACAAAATCGATTCGTACAGTGATATGAAAACTGCATTTGGTCGAATATATCTCATTCTAATTGAAGCGTTTTACTTACGATTCATGGCGTCATAAATAAAGTTCTTAATTTACCTTAGAAGAGAAAATTTAGTGATAAAGTCCTCTCCTTGCTCTCAAATAGAGTAAGATGATGGATCGCAGTTATTAATGTACGTCTTATTTAGTCCTTTCACACATCGATAACTCAAAAAAGACATCAATGGATTAATGACCATTAAATATGGTATCTTTTGCTTCTAGAGACAGATATGACCGATTTTTTTTAAAAATAAGTCTTGTTTTTTTTTGGCAAGAATAAAGTGAGTCTAATTAACATGTGGGAATTGGTTCATCTAATCATATAATTAGCCATGTAAAATATTATAAGACTAATTAAGTAATTTATGGTCCACGGCATTTTGAGACTTACCTATTCTAGTATACACATTACAAACATAATGAAGTGATTTCTTTAGATTGAATAAGGCGACAAATGAAATGCTGTAATGGCTATATGTTGGAGGGTGGAGGAGATTTCCTCTGATCATACTTCAGATCGATGCGTTACAGATATTTGTTGGCATCAATCACATGCAAATTAACTCAAAACGAAAAGGGGGATGATGTCTATAACTTAAAACCTACAAATTAGAAAGATTGGTTGGAAAAACTTTCTATGATTAGGAATAGAAGAACACAGACTGTCTCTCAAAGCATCTCACACACTGATGCCCTTTTCTAAAACTCGAAAAGAGACCCTATTACAAAAACTAAGAAAGATTCGCGCGTTATAATGAGAGAGATCATCAATGTATTAAATTAAATAAATAAAAATTTCGAAATTTGAAAGGGAATGTATCTATTAAATAGGGCTACAGGTTTTCGCGAGAGATTTGTATGGAAAAATAGGCCGGTTTCTATGCGCAAACTAATCGATACCTCTCCTTCTTGGTTATTTTCTATTGGCAAGAACCATAAACACGGAAGAAACGCGTACCCTTCTCGCTCATCATGTTGACTCTATTTTGATTAGTTTTTACTAATTCGTGAACGTCCACCCGCCGTTCTCTCGTCAAAATCTCCATTTGGGCCATGCCAGGCCGAAGGTTCTGGTACTTCCCTTCTTTTAGACATGCAAGTACATTCTCTTTCTCGTTTTCTGGATTTCGCACGACGTATTATGAATTCAATGCCATCAAAGTTTGGTTTTATACCATCGTTCAGATTCCTTGGTACATCTATTTATTTTCTTTCCCTTGGGGATGCGTGACTGTGTGTTTCTCCTTTGAAGCAGGTGGTCACGTAATCCTTCCCCTTCACCCATCTTCATCTCTCTCTCTCTCTGATTCTTCAATGGAGCGCGATGATATAGCAGAAGGAGGGAGGCCGAAGGCCGTCGAAGTTGACTCAACTGACGGACACGGGGAAGGTTGCACAGAGGGAAACAAGGGATTAAGCAACATCAAGAAATTGGATTCGTTTGACATAGAGACTGCCCGGCTCAAGTCAGACCAAGGCTATTCATCGAACCAGGTTGGAGTTTATCCATTTTCCTTAGAAAGGCAAAAACAAAGAGAAAAGGTTTTTCCTTTCAATAAAAATACTCCGGTTGAAAAAAAATTATTTGCAAATTACCATTCGGGCGACTGTTCCCAAATATTTTGTTTTTTTTTTTGCATGAACGTCTACATAATAAAATTTTTAAAACTCTATGGAGAATTTATCCTCAGAGAAATAGATTAATTGAAATGATTCGCATATATATTTTTTCATTTTCTTTCGATTATGCAAGTCGTAGCACACTCTAATTTTATGAATGTGTGCAAATATTAAAGAATTTTTTTAATGTATAGGGATCCCGTAAAATCCCTAACGATTTCCATAGTTTAAGGAATGAGATTTGAAATTAAGATTATTCGATGAAAGGGATTTAACAAATTCAAAATATAGCAAGAGATTTATGGATTCTACAAACACTTCAACCGCAAGAAAAGAGGGACACAAGTATCTGTTCCCCGCAAATTACTTGCGACTGATTAAAGATACTTTGATTTAAATTATAAAGTGGAATGTCGTTTACAATTTTTGAAAATGGCATCATCACTCGAATTAGCTTGACGTAAAAACGCATAGGGAAGAAGATGGTTAATAGTCGTGCGGTTTGCTATGTCTTTGATACATATACCTAGTAAAATATAAAACAGGAGAAATAGATATTCTCTCGAATTGATAGTTACATCTTTTGTTTCCTATGTGCTCTGTATATGTAATCAATCGAAAGTTCTAACACAATCGTAGCAAGAGTGAAGCTAGGAAATGCTTTCATGATCATGATTTGGTTACGGTCTTTCCAAATGCAGATTTTGCCATGGGGGATGGTAATGAAGCTTGCGATTCAAAGCATTGGGGTGGTGTACGGTGATATAGGCACATCCCCTCTCTATGTCATGGCAGGAATTTTTCCAAACGGGATAAAACACGAAGAAGATCTCCTCGGAGCACTATCTCTGATCTTTTATTCGATCATCGTCATTTACTTGATCAAGTATGTCTTCATCGTTCTATCGGCAAATGATAATGGTGATGGTAAGCTATCTCTCGCCATATCACCACAGAATTCATTTGCTACATAGCAGGTTCCTTTTTCTCTATGCCAAATCTTGTGCTAATGTAGTTAGGGTTTTGGCTATGACAATATAGGAGGAACGTTTGCTTTGTACTCTCTAATATGCCGCTATGCCAAGGCAAGCTTGACCCCTAACCAACAAGCCGAGGACAGGGAAATCTCGACCTACCGCCTTGAGGTGCCGAACCGCCGCCTCCGGTGGGCCTCTGCAGTGAAGTCCTTGCTCGAGAATAGGAAAACGGCCAAGTACTTGCTCTTGTTTGTGACTATGTTGGCCACCGCCATGGTCATCGGAGACGGGATTCTCACACCATGCATATCCGGTAGTAATTCTATCATCGAGATTTTCTTTATAAGAAAAGAATGATGCACCAATAGGTTTTCAATTAATCTATTTTGAATATATATATCTATTTCCTAATGATTTTTTACAGTACATTCAATCACAGGTAATATTACAATATAAAACGACACACTATATTTAATGTCTCGGCTTATCTATAGATCTAATTAGTTCTCTTGGTTGAATTTCAATAGATGGTTCTGATTCTTTTCTCCTTTTATGAGGAAGTACTGTCGGCTGTTGGGGGCGTAAGAGAAGCTGCAAGTTCACTTGGAGATGATCAAATCATGTGGATATCTGTGGTGATCTTGATCCTTCTGTTTCAAGTCCAAAGGTTCGGGACTCACAAAGTCGGATACAGCTTTGCCCCAATTCTCTCTTTATGGTTCCTCAGTATCGCAATGATCGGCATCTACAATTTCGCGAAACATGACCCGGGAGTGATCAGAGCCGTCAATCCGCTCTACATCGTCCAATACTTCAGGAGGAACAAAAAGGAAGCATGGATTTCTCTTGGAGGGATCTTTCTCTGCCTAACTGGTAATCCAAACATTTAGTCTTTCCATTAATTAATAATTCATAACTGATAACATATAGCTAAACATCATTCAAATGATTCATCTATTAGTCAATTCTTTTGCCATTTTAACCTAGATACGTAACTTATTTTCATGAATTGACTGTGGTTTTACGCCCTGAGCCTTTGATTATAGGTTCTGAAGCGTTGTTTGCTGATCTGGGGCACTTTAATATTCTCTCCATTCAATTGAGTTCATGCGTAGTTGTCTTTCCTTCAATCATCCTCGCCTACTTTGGTCAAGCGGCATATCTCCGAAAGCACACTGAAGATGTTGCTAGCACTTTCTATAGTTCGATACCAAGTAAGCTTCCTCCTGCTACTTCATTGGATGCACCATTTATCCTGTCGGATCATCCAATGAATCTATCTAATGTTTTGATGCAGAACCGGTGTATTGGCCAATGTTTGTGGTAGCAGTGTTGGCGGCGATAATAGCAAGTCAAGCCATGATATCGGCCACGTACGCCATAGTGAAGCAGTCGGTCGCACTCGGGTGCTTCCCACACGTGAAGGTCGTGCACACTTCACAAAAGCACGAGGGTCAGATTTACATACCTGAGGTCAACACCCTCCTCATGTTGGCCTGTGTTGGTGTCACCCTTGGCTTCAAGACCACATTACAATTGGGCAATGCTTACGGTAAGGAAAAAGGATCAATCTACATACACACACATTTAGTGTCCTTATGCAGATTCCCTAATTCATTGAGCTACCAAGCTGGGGTTATTGAAAGAAAAATTTACATTTATTTGTAAATCTCTATCACAGGAATTGCGGTAGCATTCGTCTTCACTATTACATCCACATTCCTCGTTATTGTGATGGTCATGATTTGGAAGACCAACATACTCCTCGTAATCCTCTATGTCCTTACCATCGGGCTCGCGGAGTACGTGTTTCTAAGCTCAGTTCTCTACAAATTCGTGGATGGGGGTTATGTCCCACTCGTCTTTGCTGCCGTGATGGTCACCATCATGTTCGTATGGAATTATGGATATCGAAAGAAGTACGAGTATGAGTTCGAGAACAAGGTCTCAAGAGAAGCTCTTGTCACGATCATGTCAAACACAAACATCCCCCGGGTCCCTGCGGTCGCCCTATTCTACACCGAGCTCGTCCATGGCATTTCCCCAATATTCACCCAATACGTCGCCAATGTACCCGCATTGCACTCGGTCCTTGTCTTTGTCTCGATCAAGTCTCTACCCATAAGCAAGGTGCCCCTCGAGGAGCGGTTCGTTTTTCGACAGGGGGAGCCTAAGGAGTCGGGCATCTATCGGTGCGTTGTGAGATACGGATATCGAGATGCGAAGATGGAGCGGCAATTCTTCGAGCAGATCTTGATTGACCAATTAAAGGATTTTATTCGGAACAACATGCCACACGCTGCCGAGGAGCGAGGCGAGGCTAGTGACCATGGAATCGCAATGGTCAATGAAGAGAAAGTGAGGAGAGAGATTGGATTGGTGGATGAAGCAATCAATATTGGAGGGATCATGTACCTGATGGGTCAGAGTGAGGTGATAGCTTCAAGGAGTTCAGGCTTGGCAAAAAGGTTTGTGATCAATTGCTTGTACAACTGGTTGAAGAGGAATGTGAGGCAACAAGAGGAAGTGTTCAACATTCCCCACAAGAGGCTGCTCAAAGTAGGGATCACCTATGAGATCTAATGGATAATGTCCCCCTAGAGATACAGTTGAGATTGAAAATTTATATTTGGTGGTTTGCTTCGTCCCCCTGGAGACTCTTCAAGCAAAGTTCGTGAATTACTTCGGTTGTCTCCTTTGTCCTTTCACAGACTATATTAGCAAAGTTTGTGTTACTTTACGAAACTTCCTCACGGTGTTCAAAATATAGCGGGAGTGTTTAATTTCATATTTTGTGAAATTATTCTCCAAAATAGATTTGTTTTAAACATACTGTCGGTATTAATTGCAACTTTCATTTGTTTGATGAAATTTGGTAAGTAGCTTTTGAGAAGGGCTTGACAGAAATGGGATGTAGTAGGCCATAGCTTCATCACCAAGTTTCCATTGGTTGCTTGAGTTGGAGCTTAATATAAATTTCTCATTTAAACGAGTTATAGTGTTTCCGAGCTTTGCAAGAACAACTATAATTTTGCTTAGTTCTTCTCTAATTGTTGAACAGTATGGTCAAGTAGCGCTCCAATACATTGATGTCATTTCAATCTTATGAAAAATTTATGACAAATATATTAACACATGATAAAATAAGATAAACACTGATATATAATGTAAGGATGTTTTACAAATTACTCATCTCTAATGCTGATAATGAAGGTAATACTACGAGGACTTCATCAATGACCGAAGGAATTGTAAGATATGCTAAAATATAATTCTTTCAATTTTTTGCTCTTTTTTAAAGGAGTTATCTCATTAATCAATCTCATTAATCAGAGGTATCAATCTAATGATATACAGATTGGGTTTTGTTAAAAAGTGCATTATATTCTATTAAGAAACTGACTAATAACAGTTACAACTTACAGTGCACTATCTTTTTTTTTGTGATCCTTGTAATCGATAATAAGCAGTCCAACGTTGCCTTATTAAATCTATAAATATAAGTCAATTCTATTGCATGTATATGAAAAACGAAGACTATGAGTGTGATTGAATATAACAAAATAAGCATACATTTTCTTGGACAGGGTTTTTTTTATGCCTTTCTACAACTATGGATGAATAATTTTTACATAATGCATAATTATGGTCCCGTTTGATGTCCTTTGAGGTAGATATTGATCATGAACTTACCATTTACGGTCCATTTGTTTCGGTAAAAATTCATTATCGGAGAATATTTTCCTCGTTTGCACCATTTGGATTGCTTTGAAAATGAGTTGGCAGAAAATCTTTTCATAATTACCAAACCACGAACTTACCATTTAAAGTCCATTTATTTCGGTAAAAAATTACTATAGGAGAATATTTTCCTTATTTGCGCTTTTGGATTGCTTTGAAAATGAGTCAGCAAATTTTTTTTTCATAATTACCAAAATTTTTGATTATTTATACACAATAAATGGACTTCCTCTTGAAAAAAATCGGAGACCATTTTTCAAAATATGAAAACGATTATCCATCCTATATATAATAAGTTGAACTATGATAGTTCATCATTATAATGGAAAATGGAAATCCATAAAAGTTGAGATTATTATAACTTAGTATAGTATTAATATATGCTTATCTTATTTCCATCTAAAACTTGTTTGCTAAAGTACCATTTTTTCAACATTTTCTCTTTAATTACAAATTTCACGCACATATTTATTTTTTAAAATTATTTACATTTATCATTCTTATCTTCTACAATGATTCATGTCTTCAAACATAATCAGTTATATGTTAATCTATTTTTGAATTTTTTTTTGCTAGTATGTGTAGTTGCGACCCTCCCGTATGGTAGAGAGGGTGTCAGTTATGATGATGACTTGCCATGTGTGAGCAATTGGAGCCCCATATAAAGTTGTGCTAATGTTCAGTGCGAGTTTTTCCGAACCCTTGTAATCCGCGACATTTAGATGACTTGGTTCATTATGATTAACATGTCTTTCCATTTGGGAGTTGTTACTAACCTATTCTAGGCCGGTTAGGAGCCAAGTGAAATGAGAGAGGTCATTTCACTTTTTCAGGACCAAAGATCTTAGGAACGGGTACTTGGTCATGCTAAGTCTAAGTAAGTGAAAAGAACCAAAAAAGTTCTAAACTAATTCTGATTATGCCAATTCAGTCATAAACCTTTCAATTATGTCAACTTAGTCCTAAATCTTTTCACATTTTGCCACTTGAGCCAATCTGGCCAATTTTGACTGGAAATTATTGATGTGGACGCTGCCATCCTACATGGCATGGTCTGCACAGATGTGGAAATTTATTTTTAGGTGTTAATATTTCTCTCTTTATTTCTTTCATAGTTTGCCTCTACGGTGATATATTTTTTATATGGGTTAATGCCACGAAAAATCCCAAACTGGTACATCTGTGATAATTTTACTCCGAACTAATTTTTTGACCATCAAAAATTTCAAACTGGTACACTTATGACAAATTTACCT